TTTTATACAGCATCCACAGCTCTTGTAGAAGGCAAGCTCAGCAAGAACTTGAAGAAGATTCTCAAGAAGATAGTGGCAAAAGATGCCCACGAGCAGTTGGCTGTGGCAGATGCCAAACTTGGAGGTGTCATAAAGGTGATAACTGATTTTTGCTTTTTTATCTTTTGTCTTATGCTACTGAAATGCTAGAGTCAGATTCCAGAGATTTTGCTGTTGCTAGCAAAGGATTATGCTGCCAGTGCTGCGTTTGCAGCATAGAGGATAGTTAATCTTAGTATGTGTACAGGGAAGATGTTGTCTTGAGAACACGGGTGACTGACATGGTAAGAATGCACTGAGGTCTTCAGGTTTGCTTGATTTCTCTCTTAAATATTAGAAATCTAGCAAGTAGAAAAACTAATTTTCTAATTATCCAATCTAGAAAAAGAGTGGAGGGAGGAACCAACCAACAAAACCCAAACCAGGCAGACACATGTTCCTCACCAACAGATGCAGCAGTAGTAGGGTGATGATTTACTGTGTTTGTGGGAGTGGGCATTGTTGTGCCTTCCTCAGTGTGCAGGTAGCTGTGCACACCCCTTGTTCCTTGTATACCCATAGGAAGGAGGTGGTTCAGTGACAGTGGTTTGCTTTTTCTGAAGTCTCCTGGGTGTCAAATACCAGTTTCCCATCTCATGTCCAATTGCTCCCTGTTCCGCTGAACTTTGTTCTGACAACCTCCTCATGCTGTCTTAGGAGACTGTGTAGGCTGCAAAATGAGGGCTTAATGTTAGTGAATAATAGCAAGGACTTTGAACTAGTTATTCACTCTTGTTCTCTGAAAAAGATGCAAAGCCCCTAACCCTCTACCTCTGTATTTTCTTTCTGGGACCATCTGTTTCTAGTAGACTTCAAAATCTTGAATGTTCTACATAGCAGATAGAGCATTAATTATAAATCTGCTCTTCAAAGGGGAATATTAACTGTGTGGGGAACTGAGGGTGTCACTACCTTGAACATCAAAAATGAATGAAACTTGTGTGATCACAGGATTGCAATGGGATAACCAGTTAAAATGATGTAAGGCTGCTGGAAGAATGACTTCAGAGGAATGTTGTGTTGTGCCTTACTTTGGACCATTGATTTCCATACTGCAGGAGAAGCTGAATTTGAGTTGTATACACAGCCCAATGGTTACAGAGCTGATGAGAGGAATTCGCTCACAGATTGAAGGGCTCATAACAGGCCTCCCTTCTCGAGAGATGGCAGCTATGTGCCTGGGTCTGGCACACAGGTGAGTTCCTACAGCAGCTCTGTTGCATCCTGTCTGCCTCTACCCTGTGCTGTGCTACTTGAAGTGTTTCTGAGTATGTGGCATGGTCTTGTACTCTGTGAGTCAAGATACTTCTGTATCTGAAATCTTGTTTTAAAAGGAAGGGCTTTCAGTTTGCACCCACCCTTTAGGTAAAGGCTTCATCTTCACCCAAAGTGGAAGCTGGTAGCTTTCCTTTTCATGTTATATACTTGAAGGTACACTTCTGGACTGTGTCTGGAGCAGTCAAGGGAGTCATTTAAAGCTCCATTGCCACTAAGAGACAATGTGGAGACCACAATTTGATGATTTCTGCAGAATAAATACCCATATAATAGATAATGCAAATATTAAAGGCAGGATTGTTCTTCTCACCTTGTCCTTGCTGCTTTTTAGATTTAGTGGAGCAGTAGTTAAGTACCAAGTTGTTGGATCACCATGGAATCAAGCATCCATTAGCGAGTCACTTTTTAATCCATATTCTGACATGAGCTTGTCCTGTTACAAGCCATTGACAAGTTAGAGAAATGCTTTGCTGTAGCCAATTCCTTAAAAGTCTGTTTGCTTACAAAATGGGCATTAATATTGAAAAAGGACTTTTAAGATGCAATTCCTCATTGATACTGAGTGTCTTTCACTGTAGTTTACAGAGGAATTGTTAACATAACATTAAAGCCAGATGGTAATGGGCTTTCTCAGACAGTGAGAATCTGTTCCAGGAAGTTTTTTTTTGCTTCACTTTAGTGTTGCTGGTAATTGCTGCTGGGGAGGTTCAGTTTTGTGGATTGCTTCCAGCTGCTGCCCAACTGGAAATGGTGTTGACAAAGACATTTTGTGGAGAACCATGCAGAAAAACCAAGAGCAAATTAATTTCCTGCCACAGCACTCATGTTCAGTCTGCAGCAGGTGGTGCAAATAACCTTCACTTTCACCCTGGTCACAGGGTATGGGAGGGACTCCTGTCAGGGCTGTTGTGGAGCTTGTGTCAGTGTGGCTTCTGGCCCCAGCTGAGAGCAGTCAGTGGCACAGAACTGAGCTTGGTTTCAATGAGCCTGTGGACAACTGTATTTGTGTTAAAAAGGAACAGTGGGGCATATTCTGCAACAGGATGTCAGGATGCTGATGAAACTGTGTTTGTGTCTCCTCAGCCTTTCCCGATACAAGCTGAAGTTCAGCCCAGACAAAGTAGATACCATGATTATCCAGGCAATTTGTAAGTATATTTAGAGCTTAAATTATTAATGGATTTGGCTTCGGATAGCTGACTTCTTTACATTGGCTAAAGAAAAGTATTGCTGTCAATTTCCTCCTAGGATGTCTGAGTAAATTGGGCACTGATGTTCATCTAGGCATAAAGTGTGTTTTCCACAAGCAGGAACATTTTTAGGGCAATACAATAAACTGGCATGCACTTTTTCTTAGCGTAGAAATCAGCTGAACTACAGGCTGTGTTAGTTCAGTCCTCTAAGGGCTTTCCTTCCCCACATGCCTCCCTTCTGAGTGGTGCTGTGAGAATGGGCCCCACAGGATAGCATTTTCTGACCCATCATTTAGGTGGTGTCTTGCATAGAGGGCAATGTAGAAATAGACTCCTACGTTAGGTGTGTAAATCACACTGCAGTGTGTAATGCTGCATTTTGTCTCCCTGCTTTCTAAATGGGAAACAGACTGAAATTGTTAAAGCAGCTTGGAAAGCCCATTCCTCATTTTTCCTTGAAGAGACGCACATCATAATCTGCATGCTTGCTGTGAAACAGTGGTGAGGAATTCTGTTTGGAATATTAATTCCCAGACTGTTGCCAATGATGAAACATAGTTAAACTGAAATTAATGATGTAATTCAGTTCCTTCGTCACTACCACTGAGACAACAGATGGGAATGTTGGTATTGCACTAGCAGGAAATATTTTAGCCTCTGGGCTCTCTAGCAATATATACTATAGGTGCTGTACTGTAATAAACTATAAATCTGGTTATTTGTCATATCTAGTAAATGGTGAGCCCATTGGCTTTGTATTTGGTGTATTTATATTATAAATATAAAATATAGTAAAACACTTTTTCCTCAAATTTAATTGGATGCCTAGATTTTACATCAGCCTTGTCAGCACTTTGGCTGACTAAGAGGAAGGAGAAGTGGCTGCTGCGCTCCTAGGGGAATGTGCTTTGCAGCTGTTTGGGAGTTTGTCCAAGATGGTCCCAGTGATGAAACTTTGAGGCCGCACTTGTGGGAATTCCAGCATTTCTATAGTATTGTGCCAACGTATTCCAACATTTCTATGGTATTACACAGTTCTCTGAAAACTAAAGACTTCTGAGTGTACTGTAGTTTGGTTCATTCCAATATTTATAGAGTGAAATACTTCAGGTGGTCTCCCTTCATACTATTTAAATTGGTTGGTTTGAGATACCACATTTTTAGGTTGCCCTTTTAGGAAAAGAACTCCGTCCTTCTTTCCTATAGCACTTCTTGATGACTTGGACAAGGAGCTGAATAACTACATCATGCGCTGCCGGGAGTGGTACGGCTGGCACTTCCCTGAGCTGGGCAAAATCATCACGGATAACCTGACCTACTGCAAATGTGTGCGCAAAGTCGGTGAGTGGTGAGGCCGTGGCAGTGGGCACCGTGTGAGGGAGTGAGTGGCACTGATGTGACACCCACTCTGCTCGTCCAGCTGCCATCACCCTGAGCAGTGCTGCCTTCAGAGCAGGGTAGATGGGGCCAGCAGAAAAGGAGGGTATGTTTGCATCTGGATCATGGTGCAGTTTGCCATTTGGAAATTTAAGTGAAAACTAATGCCACATCACCAACCACTCCTTCATGGACCACCAGCATATCTTAGAATCTCAGTTAGTCAGCAGACCAGTTTGGAAATTAGCTCTTAAAAACTGATACAAAGAGAAGTGTTGCCTGTCTCTGCATGTTCTTGAAGAGAGCAGTTAGTAGAATTACTTACAAGAGCAGAAAGAATGCCATATTTTGGACACTTGCCTCACCTCTTGGGCTCATATGCTTTGTATTGATTTATTTTTTGCTTGGTTGGTTTTTTGTAATAATGAAGTTTTCAGTCCAGAGAGAGTTGTGGTTTTAAGGGGGCTTTTTCCCCCCTCAGTTGTAGAAACAATTAAATAGGATTTGGTTAGTGGTAAGTGTCTCCTTCCTGGAGTTCTCTTCTAATATTGTCATTGAAAATTTTGCAGCAACCAGCTACTGAAAAGGTGAAATATGTAGTATGGGCTTTCTGGTTTTTTTTCTAGTTTCAAATTTAATATTACCAACCGTTCCTAGTTGGTATAAGCACAAAGTCAGAACACTGACATATATTTTAGGAATTCGGAATAGTGTGATGGCAGACTTGACTCACTGTTTTTATTTTGGCCTTTTATCTTCATCTGTTTCTGTGCCTTTTTTGCTAGTTCATCTTGCCCCCAGCACAAACATGCTTTCATCTGTCCCCCACAGGAGACAGAAGCAATTTTGCTTCCTCTGATGTTTCTGACATCCTACCGGAGGAGATTGAGGAGGATGTGAAGGCTGCTGCTGAGATTTCCATGGGGACAGAAGTATCAGAAGAAGACATAAACAACATAATCCATCTCTGTGATCAGGTATGTACACATGAATGGGTAGCAGTAGGATTCTATTTCAGCTCAGAAGAGCCACTTCTGCCAAGGAGAGCTTTTCCCAGGGCAGTGCTAACTCTTGTGATGGCAGTGATGATTCCTATATTGTTGCTTTCCTGATGTTCAGACATGAGGGTGCACAGTCACTACCTCATCTGAGCCATCTCAGACTGTTGATGCCTGCACAAGGCCTTCTGGAAGTGGCAGTCTTACTTTTGGGGGGAATTTTGCTATCATTGTACTTTGAAGAATTTGAGATAGTAGCATTGTGTAGCCTCTTTTTAATCTGTCACTGTGGAAGCTAGGTGATGAACCCTGGGTTAAAAATGGACCACTAAGGCCCCAAAAGAATTAGGAGTTCTACCCTGCTCTTGTCTGGACCGTGTGTGAACAAACACCCTCTGACTTTGTGTCAGTTGGATCCCTTTGTGACTTTACCAGCAGTGGCAGGGTTAGGAGTTCCTGTTCTTGGTCTAGACCAGGCTGCTTTTTAATGTGCATTCTAATTGTGTCTGTATGAAACAAGTAAAGAGCATGTATCCCATTTCAAGAGAAAGATTTATGTGAAAACTGAATATTCCAGAGTTTTGTCCTAAAGAAAATGTCCTTACTAAGTATTTTTCTCCTGCTTCTCTGTCTTTGGCATGTTATCAGCTCCTTTATCAGGAGTTCTGCTGAGAAAAGAAGTTGCATAAGGGAATTAGCAGAACGGATCCAATATACTTCGTGGATGTAGCTCTGCTCTGGCAATATGCTCTATATAAAGCTTCCCATAACTCTGGCTCTTGGCTGTTTGCATTTTGCAATTTGTTAGTCTCCTACAGTGGAATTCTCAGCACTTCCTCATGTCAGTATATTTATTTCTTTCCATTTTTTGATTGGCTGATACTGACTGCTGTAACCAAACTCTGTCTGTGGCAGGTGATTGAAATCTCTGAGTACCGGACCCAGCTCTATGACTACCTGAAGAACAGAATGATGGCCATTGCTCCCAATCTCACTGTCATGGTGGGAGAACTAGTGGGAGCAAGGCTCATTGCTCATGCAGGTGGGTTACAGTGATTGACATGAATGAATCCTAGGTGACCTCATCAGAGGTTTTCTCTGAGGAGCTGGTCAGCTAACAGCATTATGTAAGGCCTGGTGCACATGTTGTGGTAAATGGGGTGAAGGCAGCACTTCAGGAAGCTTGAGAATACCAGCATGAGCTTGGTAGTAGTCTGTGATGACGAAGTTCTCAGTTGGCCTGAATTCTTTTTGGAATATGAGGGCAACTTAAGTCACTACCTCTTCTGAGACACTTACTGAGCCTCCTGCTGATAGTTCTGTCACTTGAGGTATAAAACCAGCACTGGGCATTTATAGTCAGACTGGCTCAAGATAGCAGCCTTATTTCAGTTATCTGTGCTGCAGTTCTGTGATGAAATGTTCTTGCTGTCAGGCTGTCAGGAGTAGGCATTATTCCAATGGAATATGTTTTATTGAGTCAGCCTTCTTTCCTAATGCTCTAATCAAACCAAGACAGTTGAGGCATGAAAGACTGAAATGGTTGACCTGTCCTTCAGGAAACAAATGGGGAACAGCTCTCATGGAAACAGATGGATCTGAGCTTCTTACACTATTCAAAAGCGGGAATCTAGCCTAGCTGCTTCTCTGAAAAACTCCTCTTGCTGTGTCACCTCTTTCTAGGTTCCCTCCTGAATCTGGCAAAACATCCAGCTTCTACAGTTCAGTTGCTGGGTGCTGAGAAGGCACTCTTCAGAGCACTGAAGACTAAAAGGGACACACCTAAATTTGGCCTTATCTATCATGCCTCCCTGGTGGGACAAAGCAATACCAAAAATAAAGGAAAGGTAAGTTACATAGTTCTTCACTGGGTTGGCTTTTTCCAGGGCATTAATATCTTGAGCTTCGTGATGGCTTGAGCTTCACAGTGAGGCTTTTCCATGGCTTGCTTTACTGTATTGCTTTGTGATGACATGGAAAATACCACTGTCCTACAGATCCTTGAATATTGTTCACTCCTGTTCAAAAATGGGGATAAAATTGTCTGTTTGACATAGCTGAGCAATAACAGGTGTATTCCAGGTGAGTTTGGATGTAACACTGGCTTTCTCAAGGGGTATGTTACTACTTTGTTCTATGTGATAGTAAACTAAGATGTTAAAGGCTTTGGTATTTCTTGAAAATTGGACTCTTTTTGTACTAAAGTTTTTAACAGCTTGGTCTTAGTCTTTCATAAGGTAGATGGATGAATATGTGTTTGAATTGTGGAGGAATCTGGAAATTACACTGCAGACTAACCTGGTCTGAAGGTTGGGGTAGAGTAGGATATGTGTAACTGACTTGCTGTCTCAGACATTTCCCTTTATTTATCAAGGAAGCAAGGTGTTACATTAACACTATTTCAATATTAAAAGAATGAGACACTAATTACTTTTTGGACTGAACACTGCTAGTAAATGGTTACTTTGTGCTTTTGTATGTGGGTATGGTTTCCAGATCAGAGTGAATCACTGCCTTATGTTAAGTCTTAGCATTTAATATTATTTTTGGCTTTCCCAGATTTCTCGAATGCTGGCAGCCAAGACTGCCTTGACTATTCGTTACGATGCCCTTGGAGAGAACACCAGTGCTGAAATGGGAGCTGAGAACAGACTAAAAGTAGAGACAAGGCTGAGGCTTTTGGAAGAGAGAGGGGTAAGTCTTACAGAGAGCTGCATGAAGCTGTTGTTTTTGTTCAGGGTATGATTTCCTGACACTGCTTTTTGACTCTTCTCTCTCAATAGCATGTCACTCTTACCCTGTAGTTTCTCCCAGCTTTGGCTGGAATGGCCAGGTGTGTAAGTTGGCTGCAGGCATTTGTGTAGCAGCTGTTCTTGTTTACAGGGCTGTCTTTATTGCTTTATACTGAAAAATCTTGATAGCAACCAAGATTAATAAGATCATATCTTTACATTCCCTCCATCTCTATGAATTGCAAGGATAGGCTTATTACTTCATAGTTTCTTTTTCTTTACTTAGAGGGAGAATTTGTGTCAATATTTTTTCCACCCTGGTTCCTGGAACCTGGACAGAATCTGGTGGTGCTTAGTCTTTGGGAGCTTTCTCTGTAGCTAAAGCAAGATGTTATTCTGCAAATTGCTGCACTGCCCTCCTACCACCTGATGCATATCCTGGCTCTCCACACCTACTGTTCCATGTTGCCATCAGCACAGGGTGCTGGGAGCATAGGGACCCTTTCCTCTTTTATGTGGCTGCTGTATGTCATCTTGTGAATGACAGCCAGGTTCAGCCTTCCAAGCTAGACCTGATGCCAGTGCTCTAGTACTGGCATTACTAGAACAGAAAAGAAATGTCCAGAAAAACCTGCTCTCTCTCCATGGACAGTGAAACTTCCCATCAGAACAAAGGCAAGGAGAGATGTTAACACCAAAAGACAAACCAATCACCTGACAAGTACATATTTAATTTAGTTTGGGGGCTGTGTTGTGGCTTTAAGGGTGGCTTTATGCCAGCTGTAGGGTGGTACCTGCGCTTAAATGCAGTTAATATTGCCAAAGGAAGAAAGTGCACAAGTCTGAGCTGCTTTTGGGAATTTGGAAGTACAATGTTATGTCACGTTACTGTTGCATATTTGATCCAGTATTAGATATACCTTACTTGGATGGGGCCCTTGAAGAGAAGCATTGGGAAGGCCATTCTCACCTCAGTTACACTCCCTGTCACTACACTCAGGTGTAAAGCTAATGCAAGTACACAAGAGCTTGACCCATAATGCATCTGTCATTCCATTTCAAGAGCTGAATAACTTGTGAATTCTTTTCCTTACGAGTAATTTGTTTTTCCTATCTACATTTTTCTTGTAGATAAGAAGAATTAGTGGCACTGGAAAAGCCTTGGCCAAGGCAGACAAATATCAAAACAAGAGGTGAATAATTTTTACTTTCTGCTTGGCTGAGTAAAAATAACTCTCCATGGTTTTATTTCTGAAAAGCTTTTTGGTTGTGGGCTGGGTTGACCTAAGATCCAGGAAACATTTTCTGTGCTATTGAAACATTGCTAATAAGTTCTGTTGCTAACAAGAATTTCCTTTTCCCCAGATTTTCTAATAGTAAATCACTGACATCATCAGATAGCAAGTACTTTAGGTGCTACCAGCAGCACCCCAAAAAGCAGGGTCTTAATATATAGCAGCTTTATTTATTACAATTCCAAATGAAATAAATGGGAGAAAATCAGAGTATTAATGAATTTATTTGACACGGAAGCTGTCCTAGAGACCTACTTAGCCCACTTATTCTTGAAAAAAGGAAAAAAACTAGACACCACTTGTTCTGAGTGAAGCTTCATCTCCTTATTTAAGTCATGTATGTAATAAATAACACGTCTTGAGCAATAAATAAGGTGTTTCTGGACACTGTTAGAACAGTTTCTGGTGCCCAAAGTGACACTGTAAATTGCAACTGGGGCAGCTAAACATCTGAGGATTTGAACAAGGTATTATTAGTCTGTGGTGTGACATCTGGGTTTACTGCTTAATTTGGCTGCAGGCTTCTTGCTTAGCTTGCCCTGCTTATTTTGCTGAGCTTTTGGTGTAGAGAGGGCAAGAGCTCAGCAAAACCAGGTTTCAGTGCTCATTCTGTGAGAAAAAATTAGCACTGTTGCACCCATCTGCAGCCCCCAAACAACTTTCTGGAGTCTAGCTGTGACTTCTATTTCCATATGCCAGGCATTTCCAAGTGTAGTGACGGCTGTGATTTCTGGAGCAGCTTTTGCAGACATTGTCAGTCAGTAAATGAAGCATCAGGGCATGGCAGGAGGCAGGAGCTGAGGGAGGAGGTTGTTAAAGAGACAACATAGATGCTGGGGTTTGACCTCTGGAAATGAGGAATCATGAACTCCTGCCAGGACATGTTCCTGCTGGTGGACATGCTTTGCAAACATGTCTGGGCTTGGGGAGAATCTGAAGATAATTCCTGGCTGTTTGGCATAGTCTGGCTACCTAAAAGGGAAACTAAACTCAGTACTTGTAATTATCTCTAAACTCAGTAATTGTCAAATTGTCCTTGTAGTACAAAAATGGCAGTACTGCTGCATGAGCGTGTTAGAAAGGCTAAAATAGTGTTTTAAGGAGATGGGCGAGAATCTTAGTCTTGTATGGAACTATGGATTTTGTTTGAATTAGCTAAATTTAAGTAATGTATCAGAAGGTAAATGAGAGTTAGTTTTTAGAGATGAGATTCAAATGAAACATTTCTGTATGCTTTCCAAAAAAGATGCAAGTGATGCTATATTTGTCTTATTTATGGTTTTGTGGTTTTGGTTTTGGGTTTTGGTTTGGTTTTATTTTTAATTAGCAGTATTATGACAATGACAAGGAAACCATTGAGCACTCACTTGTGTTTATCTGAAGTAGACTCCACCTTTTGCAAAAGGCTGCATAATCAATTTCTTTAAACCAATATGTGGTGTTAATACCCATAAAAATAATTTCCCATGTTTAGAGGATGAGCTGATGGTACTGTCTGCTGGCATTGCCACGTGCTTGCTAGCCCACTCAGCTTCAGTTGCTTTTATAACCTGTGCAAGGTATCTTCTTCAGAATCCTATTTTAGAAAAGTTCAGATGTCCATTATGTGTCTGGGAATGAAATATTTTAGACTTAGTGTTTTAAAACAACTTCTTTCTTCAGTAGGAATTCTGTTCTGATTAAGAAAAGAACTGCTTCATTGTTATTTGATGATTCAGTTGTCCCTTACAAGTTCCAATTAAAGAGCACTGGACAGCCTGTAGAGGAGTTTGGAACTGAACAAATGAGCATGCAGTGACTGAGAAGAGGCAGTTTCAGACACAGATATTTGAATGTCCCATGAACTCAGTGATACAAGTGCTACAGCAATGAGCTGTAATGTTACCCTGCCTTGTGAGTTTGCCCTCTCAGTTTAATGGTGGAGAGGCAGTGTAGAAAAAGCAGAAGTGAAGCTACTTCTAATGCTTTGTGTGTGTGTATTATTACCCCTAGGGTACAGTTATGGGAAAATATACCAAATACAATGCAATAATACACTAAGTGATGGGGAGCTGTGTGCTTGTGACCATGTGGCTATGCTGGATAGGCTTTCAGCATCAGACAAATCAATGAAATGGGTAATTCAAGTGCTCTGTAGAGCCTTGGCCAGGTATAAACCAGGATGAAACTCTTAGTTAACTGGTGTTTTCAGATCAGACAATTGTACTTGGTGGGGTATCTCTTTCCTAGTCATGATTACTGATAAAGGCACTATGTATTGGTGGGAGG